CTCCACCATACTCAACCATCGTAGACGGTGTAGGCAAACAGTCAAAGCATATCGCGACAGCAGAAGACGACGACCTGGAAGCTATGTTGCAATTAGAAGAGGAGGAGAGACAAATGGCGAACGCAGAGAATGCGATAGCCTCACAACCCCGTAAACGCAAGTCACTGAGCCGCGCACCCTCGGAAAATGCGCCCGCTCGCAAAGTGGGGAAGCAAACGCGTAGTCCTTCGCCCCGGAAGAACGATCTCGCTAAGACCGGGGCTATGGCTAGAAATGATCGACGGTTGGACACACCTGGCACTAAGAGGGTTGGGCATGCGGTCTTGGACTCGGAGGATGAAGAATTTGGTGCACTGGATGAGATGGATATCGATACCCAATCCCGGACGAAATCACCCACTCCAACAACGGGGAAGAAACTACGCGAGAAAACACCGATGACCGAGTTCACCAGAGGTGCCAGTCAAACGCAGCTTCCCATGCGATCGCCTTCGAAGACCATAAGAAGTCCAAGCCCATATCAGCCGGAACAGGACTCTATGCCCACTCCAGCGAAGTCTCAGTCTCCAAAGAAGGCTGCAAGGCCTACACCCACACCAGTGCCTGCCTCCACAAAACGCGTACCAAGCTCTTCCGAACTTGCAAAGGAAAGGAGAGATGCCATCAGAGAATCCATGGATACCTTCCTGGGCACTGAAGGCCAAAGATTGCAGAAACACCTCAACGCTGCAAGCTCGGCATGGGATAATGCCAGGGCTGCGTTTGTAGCACATCTTTCCGAGTTTGGCAAGCCTGATCCAAGCGAACAAGAAAGGATGGAACGCGCTCGTTCACGAAAAGAGGCAGTCGAGCAATTGATAACCTTGAAATCCAAACACGAGGAACTAATCGGGCAGCGGCAGAGGGTCAAACAGAAGCTAGAGGATGACTTGAACATTGGTCAATTTGATGCAGCGGACGGTGAAACCCTCAGCAGACTGTTCAAGATGAACGAGGATGTTCTGATCCAGATGTTTTACCTCCTGGATGCGGCAGCCATCAAGCAGCAGTCAACACCTCTTGTGAAGACTGAAACGAAAGTCAGCCGTAATGTGGTCATACAATCAACCCAAGCGAGCCCGGTCCGCCCACACCTAAAAGCGTCAAGGGATGCAGGCTCACATCGCATCCCCCAGACACAATACGGTAGGCCACCCGAGGCTCCCGCTCAGGAACTGTGGACGCCTACTCGGCATATCCGTTTCGCAGAAGAGCAAGTAGCTGCGTCCCCACTACCGCCCCCAAACCTAGGCTCCCGTGCCCGTGCGAATGATGGCATGGCAGGAAAGCAAAAAGCGAAGTCAAAAGAGCGATCCCATAGAGTGCCTGAGACGCCAGAGCGCCGACGTTCTCCAAAGCGATCAAGGCCAGTAGCTCCGCAACACACACCAGATGAGTTTGGCGAGCTTGACTTTGAAGAGAACGAAACCCTGTTCAGCAACAACATGGGCGAACTTCACCAACCCATTGAGATCAATGACGACGATGATTTTGGTGAGGCATTTGGACCGGACGACGATGATGACTTCCTTCACGAGATCACCAACATTGAGAATCAGGCACCAGGTGGTTTTGATTGGAAGGGCGAGCGGGCTGGGAATCACGTCACTACACAATCTCGTGAGGTGTTCCGCGAAACTTCTACCAATAAAGCCAAGCCTAAACCAGCCCAGCAAGCTTCACCGAAGAAGCAGCAGCTGGATATGCCTGCTAAGAATCATCCTGGTATGAATTTCCCTTGGTCACAAGATCTAAGGACCGCCCTCATTCGCCGCTTCGGTCTGCGAGGATTCCGTCCAGGACAGTTGGAAGCTATAAACACGACGCTGTCTGGCGAACACTGTTTTGTGCTCATGCCTACGGGAGGTGGCAAATCTCTTTGCTACCAACTTCCGTCAGTAATTACCTCAGGCAAGACAAGAGGAGTCACCATCGTAGTATCTCCGCTCTTGAGTTTGATGGAGGATCAAGTGGAGGCCTGCAAACAGCGCTTTGGGATGCAGGCCTTTCTGATCAACGGAGAATCGACCGCAGCACAAAAGAACATGATCATGGACGGGCTACGTCAGCGGGATCCCCAACAGTTCATACAGATCCTCTATCTAACACCCGAGATGCTCAGCAAGAACCAGAGAATGATCAGTGCTTTCCAGCAATTGCATTCTGGGGGCAATCTTGCCCGCATCGTCATCGATGAAGCGCATTGTGTCAGTCAGTGGGGCCACGACTTCCGGCCAGATTACAAAGCACTTGGAGACGTCGTTCGTCAGTTTCCAGGAGTACCCGTTATTGCACTGACCGCGACTGCGACCCAGCTTGTCCGCACTGACGTAGTAGCAAACCTCGGTATACAGGGTTGCCGTCAATTCTCCCAGAGTTTCAACCGCCCCAACTTGTCTTACGAGGTTGTGCCAAAAGCCAAAGGTGTCATCGACAGCATCGCGGATCTAATCAAAGAGAGATACGTTGGGAAATCCGGCATCATATACTGCTTGTCACGAAAGAGCTGTGAGCAAGTGGCCCAGAAGCTATCCGATGTGGGCATCCGTGCGTATCACTACCACGCAGGAATGGAATCCGCAGACCGATCCGAAGTCCAACGCAAATGGCAGAAGAACGAATATCATGTCATAGTGGCTACCATCGCCTTTGGTATGGGAATCGACAAGCCTGATGTACGATATGTGATCCACCACTCGCTGCCCAAGAGTTTGGAAGGCTACTACCAAGAGACCGGTCGAGCTGGCCGTGATGGCAAACGTTCAGAGTGCTACCTGTACTATCAGTATGCCGACTCGAGAATATTGCGCAAGATGATCGAGGAAGGCGAAGGTAGCTGGGAGCAGAAACAGCGACTGAGCGATATGCTGAGAACTGTCATCCAGTACTGCGAAAACAAAGCAGACTGTCGCCGCGCTCAAGTACTCGGATACTTTAGTGAAGCATTCGATGCCTCTAAGTGCAACTCGACGTGCGACAACTGTCGCTCAGATGCGACGTTTGTTACTAAAGACCTCACGGACTACGCTGCCATGGCCATCAAACTTGTGAGCCAGGTACACGAGGACAACGTGACGATGCACCAGTGCGTGGACGCTTTCCGTGGCGCGGGCAGTGCGAAGATCAAACGCTCTGGATTAGAAGAGTATGGATGGGGCTACGGCAAGGACTTGGAACGCGGTGACAACGAACGCATCTTCCAACACCTGCTCGACGCTGGGGCCTTCAGGGAAAGAAGCAAGGTGAACAAAGTTGGCTTCGCGACGAACTACTTACACGTATGTATTTACTGCCCTGACTGTATTCTACATACTGACGATTGTAGCCTGCTTCGGCACGCAACGACTACGAGAGCAAACGAAAGCAGCTCAAGCTTCAAGTTCGTTCTTCGCCACAGAAAGCGCGCGCGAAAGCACCCGCTGTCAAGAAGGCAAAGAAAACCCAAACTCAGATTCCGTCTACCAATGTTCCCTCCCCCGTACGCGCACCGAAGCAGAAGATCCGATCGTTTGCCTATAATGAAGAGGACGACGACGATGACGATGCATTCGAAGCTCCACGACACCCCGCCCGCAGTAAGACCGCCCGCGGGTACGAGGCGGACGATTTCGTGGTTGATGACGATTTTGCGCCAATACGTGTCGCCAAGCCATCAAGAAGCACGAAAGCAAAGGGTGTCGGAGCTCCAATTACTACAGATCAACGCACCGAAGGACTCAGCGAATTCCAGTCCGATGTTCTGCGAGACTTCATGAACGGAGCCAAGCAGTTGAGGAAGGGCATAGAAGACAAGAAAAACCACCGTGAAGCCATCTTCACAGACACAGTACTACGTGAAATGGGTCTTGATCTACCTATGGATCTGGATGAGATGAAGACTATCCCGGGTATCAGGCCGGAAATGGTGGATCTGTATGGCAGGCAGTTTTTGGCCTTGGTGGACAACACAAGAAACTTCTACGGAGACGACACACCAGTACCTCGGAATCCACAGCTTCGTAATCGCCGACCCCAGCAATCCAGAGTCATTCACGAGATTGACGATGATGACGAAGAGGAAGTTGTCGACCAAAACCATCGGCTCGTCGTGGACCTGTGTAGTGAGGACGAAGAGGAAGTACCCATTGCAGAAGAATCTGAAGAGGAATCCTTCTATGGTGAGTTTGGCGACGAGGACGAGGACGGCGATGATGCAGTTCACACGAGTCATCACTTCAGCCAATTCCCGAACCAAGCTGTGGCGGAGTTCAACAGTAAATACACGCAGCTCGGTGGCGGCGCAGCCCCTTCTACATCCAAAGCAACGAAGGCACCAGCAGCAAGAGGTAGATCGAAAGCCTCTGGGTCCGGATACAAGAAGGGCTCTTTTCGCAAGAGGGCTAGCTTTGGTAAGGGTTCTGCTGGTGTCAAGAAGCGGGCATCGAAGGGCAGCAGCAGTAGAGCATCGGGAGGCGCAACGGCAGGGAGGCCTTCTGGGCGTGGTGGTAGAGGCGGAGGGGCAGGCGCATCAGGCGGGTGGAATGGCGTGATGGCGATGCCTACTTGATCGCGAGTTCCATGTTCATACCTGTAGCGAGCAATTGCGCACGTACATTCGCAGCTTCCGCAACTATTACGAAGTTATGTAAATTATAGATTAGCCATATGCTGTACGAGAGTTGGTCTAGTATCACGCAAACACTTTGGCTTGACGCCATTGATTATTTCAATCATGCTAGTTCTTATACCACGTTCGATTTCTAGGAGCTGCACAGTGGCTACGCTGCGCTGATAGACAGTGACAATTTCATAACACCAGGAGGTCACCAAGATCAAGCGTACGCGATATGTTCAAACATAGACACAGGCATTAAGTCGTAGTGTAATAGGATATTAATTCGTTAGCCCGCAGGCAAGGTATCTCATAATGCCTTAGTTGGGTATCTAATTCCTTCCTCCATCGTCAACAGCAAGCACAACGCTTACAAGCCGCTGCCGTGGGTGTGGGTGGTGTGGGTTCCGGTAGTGTGGTGACCCATTCCAAGCGTGTTCTTGGCCTTGTCGACGATGCTACCACCGGTGGAGCCGTGAACGTTGTTGTCCTTGCTGCGGCCGACCTTGTCCATGGTGGACTGGGTGTTGGTCTTGGAGGAGTCGGGCTGGAGCTCGCGGGCAACCTTGTCGCCGGTGCCAGTGAGAGACTCCTTGATCTTGGTGCCAGTGGACTTGGAAGATTGGGGTTGCTGAGGGGAGTGTTAGTGAAGGTGGTGGAGAATGGAAGGTGAAGGTGGCGTACCATCTTCTCACCAAGCTTGGTGTGGGTGTCTTTGCGGAATGCGTCGGTCATCTTGAAGGTGATAGTTTGGTTTAGTTTGGGGTGGTGTGATGTAGGTGGTTGATGATTCGAGTTGATTGAAGTTGCAGGTGTGGATGTTGATGAGGTCTATCTTAAGTGCAGGGTGAGCACTGCTTATATGCTCCCCGGACCTCAAGCAGCTACGTCATGGTTCGTGACTGCCGTTCGCAGTCTCAGCATGAGTGCTGACTGACATGTGCCCAGAATGAAACAGCGCAGCCACAAACCACGGCGTATGCCCAGCACGTCGAGGACGTCATTCAGTTGGCAATCCGAGTAGGTCTAGATTTCATCTACTTTCGTGATAGGCCGTCCTTGTTCGCTTGTTTGCATATCACTATAAGAGGCGAATGAGCAGGGATGGAAGGATGGATCAACGATGAAAGCAAGCTTTCCACGGTGGCTGACCCGTGTTGACAAGAGTTAGCCAACTGATGTTTGCGGTCGTTATACTGCGCCTTGAGCGCGCTTGCCACGTTGCGATTATTGATCAAGTGAGCATCAAGATTAGTCGTGTGTAGTCGAGCATGCGTGTCGTGAACCGCTGGGTGAAGTTTGATGCCTGGTGGGTGGTGGGGCAGGGCACTACAGGTCCCTGCGTCCCTGCGCCGGACGCGCGACCCCACGTGTAGTAGCGGTGACATCATCCCGTCTTTCCAAGGGCACAGGGTGTAACAATCAAGCTTCAAGTCCGATCGCCAGGTCAACGGAGCCCCATGCTTGCCTCTATTCAGCACCTAGCCTCGCGTTGTCATGATCACGAAATGACTTTGCTGATCACTGACGTACGTTGAGATTCTGCATGCGCAATCACTATAACTTGATCAGCGATCTCGACGGGCAGGTCTAGGGACTATGAAGGAGGTGGTCTGCCGCCATGTAAACAGGGTGCAGCGCAAGCTTCCGCCGTGTGCATGTTTGGGAGACGTCGCTGCAGGGCCACCGGATAATACTTCAGGGCCCGATGCCGAGCCATGGAAGCATTCAGCCCTGAGTTGAGGTCGCCTTGAAGCTGTCGCGTTGACTCCATGCCTACATATTCCCAGAAAGCGTCACGTGATGGTATCGACGACCGCCTTCTCATGTGCCTGGACTCAACATACAGGAGTGCGCAGAACGACATGTTGACCAAGTGGCATGGTAGGATGCTCAGATACATAGAGGTGCGTGATGCTTTTTATTGTTGAATCTCCGGCCGTGCACTGTCGGCGGCACACCGACTGCTATATACGGTACATGGCGGTATGCGCTGTCGAAGCGGGTATCTTCGAGTGCATCGCGCTACGATGCGTTCTGCGGTGACAGCGATGGCGCTCGCGAAAGAGCGGTCGCGGCAGGGCTCTAGGCGGTGCCGTACGCAAGGCGCCACGTCGTCGCAGGAAATGCAGAGGCTGGACGGGGACATTACCAGGAGGCTCTAACGCAGGAACGCGCTCGGATCAGCGGTAGCGCGGCGTGCGATTGGCGGTTGGGGGCGGCCGGGGCAGGATGCTCGTGTTCGGTCCCCTCGACAACCCGCTTTGTTGATGGACTAAGCCAACCACCTCCAGCCACTTCAGACCAGCCATCACCATTTTCGCAACAGCAAAACTATCCGTCGCTGCAGGCAAAGAGAGAAGTCACATTCCACGCTACCACCCACACTTTGAATATTCTTCCACACAGGAGACATCTGACCATCGTCGTCGCAGTGCATCCACCGCCGCTGTAGAGCCATCCAGCCGAGCGTACCAACATCGACCCGCATCCCGCATTCGACGCAGTACACTTGGGACAAGACGCCATCGCTTCCCCTCTCGTACCCTCACAGGAGAGAGACCACCACCAGCCGCAGTCTGAGTGCACTTCCCCGCTCATCTCACCCGGCCCTCTGGGGGCGCAGGGAGAACACAGGCCCATAAGAGGCAGTTGAAGGAGAGACACATTCACAATGGCGAACTTACGGTTCGCGGTTAGCATGCAACGTAAGTACACCGCAGCTGCCAGGAGAACGATCACGACTAACAATCCCCAGGGCTAATACCGTTTCTCGGCTTTCACCATGTTCTCATGATTCTCATTGCAATTGCGATAATATTGCTATGTAAGTTGGGACGAAACCACATCAGACGGACACAGCTAACATTCTCGCAGCATTGCTACTCGCAGGATGCTCATCCACATCACCGCTCATCCCCGGCATCTTCCTCATCTCCATGTGGTACGAAAAGTTCACACCCACCTACGCACCTGAACAAGTCGACCCCGGTGTCACAGCCGCCATTGCCAACATCGTCGGCAACGCACAGCTCGGTGTACGCGTCGGCTACTTCGGCATCTGCATCAACAGAGACGGCGGTGGCTTCATTTGCTCCAACAACGCCACTGCGCTCGTCGACAACGTTTCAGTCGACCAGGACCCCCTCAACCTTGTCTGGGTTGCCGCCACGTTCAAGGACGCGGTTGTCTTCCCATACCTGCTCATTGTCGCCATCATCCTCGCCTTCTTCACCTTCATCCTCCTCGCCACCTTCCCCGGATGGCACGAGGAGCGAGACGAGCGAACCGGATCTGACGTCGACGTCAAGCCCTTCCCGTCGCGACCCGTCTCCCAAGTCGCCCTTGCGCTCATCTTCATCTCATCCATCTTCGTCCTGGTGTCAGTCTTGTGGCAACACACAGCATCCGTCGCAGCAGCAACCATCGTGCAAGATCTGGGTAACGGCAGCGTCAAGTCTGGCGTCGGTACATCGGCCATGGTCCTTGGTTGGTTCGGCTTCGTACTCCTCATAATAGTAACCATCGGGTTGCTCGTTATGATTCTCAGCATCATTGTTCTCGACCGTCTCACCGACAACGACTAAGAGGACCGAACCGGCTGCGAATACATTCAAAACATAATTACGAAAGGATGAGCATTTTGTTGGCGCGATTGTGTAATTTGGTGCCGAGCTTACTCGGCCTTCACTTCTTCAGCTCAGTTACATACCCTTTTATTTTGGGCGACGCGGTGGCAGCTTGCTGCTCACAATTCTTCTGGCATACCCGGCGTTTGGAGATTCTGTTTGCATCAGATCAATTTGATCCATGAGCGAGTGTTGGTTTTCACCAACGATGGTTAGACGAAGGAGGAATGACTCGACTGAAAGCAACGCTTGGATGGGCTGTATTTATGTAGTAAACGAAAGAATGAGAATTGGATACGTCAAGTCAAAGAACTTCTGCCCCAACTTGAGCGATGCTTTCCCGACGGGTGAGAGTCAAAGAAGTTAAATGCAATGCCTCCTTTTGTCCAGTGGCATGGCTCATATCTCCCGATGGACATCCGGGGTATTCTCGCATAACGCGGGGAAATGCAGTAGCGGAGCCGCCAGTCGACCTGCCTTTTTGACCCGAAACGGGAAAGGGTTCGTCTTACCATGAAATGCGCACTCATGTGCTACATCTACACAACTTGTAAGAACAGGTCTGACTGCACACTCTCGCAAAGCCTGCCCGAGTCCCTCCGACGACCGGCCGCAGAGTGCAATTATCGATGGCGCCATACCTAAGCGAGCCTAGGGCATTTTGTCGCGTCCAGAAAAATTGGTGGGGTTGGCATGAGAGGGACATTTAGTGCTCTGACTGCTTAAAGGCGCTGTAGTCTTACTGCCATCTTCCGATCTTTTTCTTTCAATCCCCCTTTCCTCAAACCACATCCTCATTTGATTGCCTGTCATGTCTAGCTACGCACTCCCCAAGTCCCACCAGGACGTATGTTGCCCCGCGTCAAAGAGAAGATGTGCAATGCTAACGCGGCACAGCTCATGGAAAAGTCCCTGGTGGACACCGACCAAGAGGTCGCCCAGATCATGGTATGACTATGCTATTACCTGCTTACTTTATACTTGTACTAACAAACACCGCAGGAGAAGGAAATCCAGCGTCAGCGCGAATCCATCCTCCTCATCGCCTCCGAGAATGTCACTTCCCGCGCTGTCTTCGATGCGCTCGGCTCGCCCATGTCCAACAAGTACTCCGAGGGTTACCCTGGTGCCCGCTACTACGGTGGCAACGAGCACATCGACTCAATCGAGTTGCTCTGCCAGAAGCGCGCCCTTGAGACTTTCGGCCTCGACTCAGAGAAGTGGGGTGTCAACGTACAGTGCTTGAGTGGTAGCCCGGCAAACCTCCAGGCCTACCAGGCCATCATGAGGCCACACGACAGGCTGATGGGTCTTGACCTGCCACACGGTGGACATTTGAGCCACGGCTACCAAACACCGCAGAGGAAGTGCGTACAGATCGAGCGATATGTATTGGGATGACATGCTGACCATAAGTAGGATCTCTGCTGTTTCCACATACTTCGAGACTTTCCCCTACCGCGTAAACCTCGACACCGGCCTCATCGACTACGACCAGCTCGAGCAAAACGCCCTGATGTACCGCCCCAAGGTACTCGTCGCCGGTACCTCCGCTTACTGCCGTGAGATCGACTACGCCCGCATGCGCGAGATCGCTGACAAGGTCGGCTGCTACCTACTGATGGACATGGCTCATATCTCCGGTCTGGTCGCTGCTGGTGTCAACAAGTCGCCCTTCCAATACTGCGACATTGTCACTACCACTACCCACAAGTCCCTTCGTGGACCCCGTGGTGCTATGATCTTCTTCCGCAAGGGCGTTCGCAAGACTGACCCCAAGACCGGCAAGGAGACACTCTACGACCTCGAGGGACCCATCAACTTCTCCGTCTTCCCTGGTCACCAGGGTGGCCCCCACAACCACACCATCACCGCGCTCGCGGTTGCGCTCAAGCAAGCGCAGACTGAGGACTTCAAGCTTTACCAGCAGCAAGTCATCAAGAACGCCAAGGCACTTGAGGTTGCCTTCAAGGGCATGGACTACAAGCTTGTCACTGACGGTACCGACAACCACATGGTCCTTCTCGACCTGAAGCCTTTCGCCCTTGACGGTGCCCGTGTTGAGGCTGTCCTCGAGCAAGTCAACATTGCTTGCAACAAGAACACCACTCCTGGTGACAAGTCAGCTCTCACACCCATGGGTATCCGTATTGGAGCCCCAGCCATGACATCGCGTGGCCTGGGCGAGGAGGACTTCAAGAAGATCGCCAACTACATCGACCAGTGCATCAAGCTCTGCAAGAAGATCCAGAGTGAGCTCCCCAAGGAGAACAACAAGCTCAAGGACTTCAAGAGCAGGGTTGCCAGTGGCGAGGTACAGGAGATCAACGATCTTAAGAAGGAGATCGCGGCCTGGGCTGTTACCTTCCCTCTTCCCATCTAAGTCTACACACAATTTTCTTGCAGAGTAGGCGGCGTACACAGGCGTTTCTTTGTCCAAGCGGGTTACGGTGTTTCAACAAAAAGGCAAATTTGGACTGGCATATTCAACAGCTCACACCATCTGATTTACGAGGAATGACATGATTAGGGCGACAAAAACTAGATACCTGGAGATGAGGATTCCACGCGATGAAATGCTCTTAGCGTGCCCTGCACTCTTGATGGGATACGCTGCTTAACCAGCATGTCTCGATCATCAAATGTAAAACAAATGACTTGAAATTTCAAGACTATTGCGCCCTGTGGATTGTGTGATGACCATTTATTTTAGGCATGAAGCTCTACACAAATGTGAACTTATAGAATCCGCGCAGCAGCTGTGCCGTTGATCGAAAACGACATTCTTCACTCAAAACAGCCAGAGTCGAGAGAGACGATTCCAATCACAACTTCATGAAGCTTGGCTGCCACGATATTCACAGGTATTGATGTCATGGATTGAATGCTAATAAGTCTATGCTGAGACCTGTGGCGTTTACGCCGACTGCCAGGTAATGGAAAAGGTAGCGGAGTGATCTCCGCCAGCGTACACAGTCTGCTGTGTACTTCCCGACGCAATCTTGTCGGCACTCCATTGCGCGTTGCCGCCAGCAGCCAAGTTACCGTCCGCGTTTGTGAACCCAGTCACGCTGGCAGAGCCGTCGCAAGCTAGCGCTCCACCAACGATGCCACACTTGCCCTTGGAGCTCGACAAAGTGAAGCCGTTGTCTGCCTCGGCAGCGGTGAAAGTCGCGCAGGTGCCGGTTGTGTACCAGGTGCCCTTGGAAATGATACATCCCTTCTTCGCGCCGTTGACGACAACGTTGAGGTAGCCCTTACCGCTGAAAGGCGTTCCAGGCGCAGATGTGGGTGCGGGTCCACCAGCAGTCGTGGTGGTAGACGGAGGTGAGGATCCAGCGTTCTTGGGGAGGTACTTGATGCCCGTCTGGGGGCATGTCGATTTTGTGCCATCGGGGTCTGAAGCAACAAACTCGCCAGTCTGCACGCTACCACGAACATCGTAGTGGTACCAGATCTCGTTGAGTGCGCCGGACTTGCAGCCTAGGGTAACTTCGACACCGGGGCGCTTGGCCTGGATCGCGCTTTGGATGGCAGCGAATGTGTATGTCTTGCTTGTGCTGGGTGTGATGCCCGCTGCGCTCAACCACTCGTAACTTGGGAGCGTCTTGAAGAGGTCGACAGTCTTTTGGAAGAAGTCAACCACCTCCTCTGTGGCTTTGTGGTCGTCGTAGCATTCGGGCTCGAGCGTCGAGATACAGGTGCCGTGCTTGGCCCACTCGTGGTACCAAAAGGACTCATCGTCGCCCTTGTAGTCTTTCCAGTATGTGGACATGTAGGAAAGAAGGTCGGTCGCGCCGAAGGAGTTGAGGATGGCAGTGATGTTGGAGTAGGCGCGCGAGGAGTCGCAGTTGGCGTCATAGGTGCCGTCGCATCGGTCGGGCCTGGACAGTATGATTAGCATGAGTAGGTAGCTGCAGGTGGAGGGCAATGTTACCATAGACCGTGGATGGTCCAGCTATCCTCTGGTCCAGTGGCAGGCGAAGCATCCCAGAACTGCGTCTGTAGAATCTGTCCGCCCGGCGCATTGAAGCAGCACAGGTTCTCCACGGCGGTGGTGTTGTGGCAGCTCAATTGAGCATTGGGGCAGCTTTGGGTAAAGTCGCCCATGACGCGTCCTCCATGGCCGAGGATGACTTGCGCACCACCGAGGGCGATCTTGCTGAGGGTCTTGAGAGAAGGCATGGCTGTTGATTCTGCTGCCAACATCTCTGCAGTGGAAGCCGCGGCGTTATGTACCTTCTCCCTCGCGGCTCCCACCAGGGAGTCTAGCATGGCCGGCATGTTCCCGCTTGCCTCGTACTACTGCAAGGACGGAGGAGATAATTTGGCGCTGTGCAACAAGACTACACAAGCTTTCGCGGATCGATCCCTCCCGTAACGGCAGCTCAGATTACACGCCTTCACGTTGCTGTCGCTGATTCGCAGGCAGCGAACACACTGCTCCTCGATGCGGAAGGTCGGTCCTCTAGTCTAGTCTGTCGCCGCCGGGCTGCTTTCCGTAGGTGCGTCAACGGAGAGCCCGAGATGTCTTCTCGACGATTCGACTGGTGCAACAGGTTCGGGGCGAGGTAGGGTAGTGCGTAGGTGTACTATGGCCACCCCGACGATGGCGCTGGGGATGGGTGTTTATGGGGGATGAAAGGGCCAGAGGACATAGCCACTCAAGGCGCAGTACCAGCCATCACGCCGGGCGAGGTCACGCAGGGCCGCGTTTGGGGCATGATGGTGATCTGCTGCTCGGGGACCAGTCAGATGGCGTCTCAGGGCGAATGTGACGGGTGCACGTGTAACGCGTGCCTGGCGATATGACGACGATTGCGTTAGCCCAGGGACGAGCGGACCCTGCGGCTTATCAGCATGGCGCGCTAGCCTGCAGAGGATCGCTCGGCGTAGTCCGAACCTCACCACTTTCCCATCCAAGTCCACGCCAGAATCGTTTTGCTTTTGATATGGGCGTCATCTTCTCTCTTTCTTCTTCGATGGTTTCTGTTCGTCCAATGTGGCGATGAGTTCCCAGCATGACGCAGTCTTCGTTCATGAGCTGGATCTCTATCCCTCAATACCGATTCATTTCTCTCATCCAGCTGTGTGATGGGTTTGTAGGAAAACTGCCACAACACCATACCACAGGAAGCGGCAGGTCAACATGTATACTGCAGACAATATCACTTTCATCAAGATCTGGTTTGTTTGGGTTGGAATGATATTGTCTATTTAAGTGTTGTATTTACAAGAAAAGAATGTTGCTCAAATATTTGCAGTGTAGATAGCCTTTACGATCCGCGATCGACGAAGCCAAGGTGTCCGTTGCGGTTCCCTTATGGGTACTGGGTGTAGAGGCACTTGGTGGGGTTCTCTTCCTTGATCGCCCTTGCGATGAAGCCGTAGCACTCGTCGGCTCCAGCAGGACGGGTAACACCGCCCAACCAGACGGAGTAGCCGCCACCGAGAGAAGGCTGGCAAGCCTGGAACTCGATGTCCTCGCCAGTCTGGTCACGGAAGACAAGGTTTCCGTCGTCGTTGATGGCGAAGGTAGTCCTTTCTCCGTTCTTCACCATGGGTTGAGCACCGGTGGTGTATTGGATGACACCCTGACCCATGCCAGACCTGTCAACGAAGAATTGCTGAGGGGGGTTGGCAGTGTAGAGATAGAGGCTGCCGTTGCTGAGCTGGAATGAAGCGTAGTTGTGGGGTTCTGGACCGCAGGAAGCGTTCTGCTGGCCTGCGTTGATCACGAGGGAGTTCTGGACAGCCTGGAAGGTGCTGTACTGGAAGTCGCTGCCTGAGCGGATGGTTTGGATTGTGAAGACATCGCCGTCCTTGATCTTGGAGTCGGTGGGGAGAGCAGTGACGAGGCTGGCGGCGGTGGCAGCAATGGCAGCGGTGGTGAACTTCATCTTGATTGTAGTTGGGTGTGGTAGTAGTGTAGGGTGAAGATGGTAAGCTGGTTGGTGGATGTAGTCTTGATGTTTGAATGTGTTTGTGTTGGATGATGATCTATAGAGCAAGACCTCCAGCTCTTATATACACAGCGACCTCGTATACAGTCTCCTCGCGGCCGTACGAGAGTAACCCCAACAATACAGCAACATGAGGTCACATTCGATCCGAACACGAGCACTGGCCCATAGAATCTTCCATATGCTCCATATTTTGGTCTCGCATAATGCATGCGCCACGATGGTCTCTGCTACTCAGGGTCGTGCGAGGCCTATTCTCCGAAATGCCGGCAAGCAAACGTGGCGTGTGCGCAAAACGTCGAATGGAATGTGTGGTGAGTGACGCAGCGGTGGACACGTCGACGGGCCGATGCCAGCAATGAATTAACGGAGGCTGGCTAGCTGCTGCCAATTTTGAACCCGGGCTAACAGCCCGAGGTGATCCTATTGGCCGGCCGACAGGCGAGACACAAGAATAGATCGCATGACCGAACGCTCCTTGACCGACCTTCACGGTCGAAACAACATTGGGATGGGCGACAATCGTCGTCGCTCGTGTTCTGCTCGGGTTGCATCGTTGCATGGCGGTGTAGCGAAAAGGGGTTCGCGACGAAGCAGTCGCCGTAATGAAGGATCTCGGTACTGACGGCGATTTGTGCATCAAGCTAAACACAACAGTCCACGCGTCTTCGAAAAATGCCTTTCCAATGTACTCAAAGTAATGAGGCCGTATCACAGTGCCCAGCTCGAAAATCGGTTGAAGGTTGGCAAGAGCTGCACATCAGACTCACAAGCGTACCTGATACTGAGATGGCACATTGGGCACAGAGGTGAGCATCGTTCTCAAACAAGAGCACCGGTCGTACCCCACAAATCCAGAATGATGAGGCAATTAACGAACTTCGTGTTCATTTATCAAGATGCGCATCTAGACTATTGCCATATCACTTTCCGCGTCAAAGACGTCAACCCGCGGATTCCGAAACGAACCAGCCCAAATGACACGATATCGACCACGTCCCACAGCACCCTTTTACGTCCACGACTTTTGTCTGCTCATCAAATCTCCTACTTACATCACTCTACTATGTCTTCACGGCCTCGCTGTACGCGGCAAACGGCTGTTCGTTTCGCTCTTCCCGACAGTAACGAAAGTAACATCGAAGCAGACGGCTCGCTTCAATACGGCTCGAACTTCCTCGCGATGTTGCTGTGTACGCTCCTTCTATTTCACTGTGTTTCTCGCGAATTGACTATAAGCCTTGTGTTCCGACATAGTAATGCATCACTACCCGGAATGGTGGTTAATGTTAGCCTCTCGATGGCTCCGACATACCTAGGTATTGAATGTCGTGTGATGTACATGATTCTGCGTACTAAGCTCTATCCTTCCAATGTCCCTTCTCATATTGCCGTTTTCTTCGTGTAAGGCTTGTCAGTGTAGTTTGACTGCGCTGGGGTTGTAGGTATAATGCTGGCATCTCCAAAGAAGGTGTGCACAAGTCCACTCTTTTGGTATATTCAGAACTACTTAGGTAGCCTCCTGCAACCTGTGAAAAGACAACGGTATTCTGTCGCTGTGGTGATTTAGTTTTCTGGGTATCTTTCGGCTACCATGGCGTAAGTGATGGCGGTATGTTTTTTTGAGTTTCTATCATGCGCGGTTTTAGTGCTGCAATATCCCACAACCCGAACACAATATTGGAACATTCAAAGACCCGACGGCCACACGGACCCAAAGTCCCCAATAACTACAGCTTAGTATGAATGAGAGCTATGTCCTTTAATATGAGAGATGAATTTGTAGGAGCACAAGAACCGGCCCTAGTCGTAGAAGTTATTGTAGGTAATTTCTCTACTAGCAGGATCATGCAGCGTGCCCAGGTAAGACATCCGCGCATTGTAGGATACTCGGAAGACCAGATATATAGATATGAGCCTATACTAAACATCAGTTCACGTCTGCCCTAGGACATGTCCCACGAGTAGCCAATGTCGGCTTTCCGTATGTTGGCTGCTGGCAATCAGTGTTGGACTGTCCCACACTGTCCAGCCAAGAGCCGCGAAACAACGCCGCGTTCGCATGCCAGCCACAACGCGTTGTATATAGGTTGGATGGATCTGCTACCCAGAGAAACGGCCTTTGGGTATGCGCTTTACGTTCTCAAGGCACTCAATTAGGCTGTAACAAGAGAGGTTGTGCGGAAGAGGATTGTAGCGATAGAATTGTACGCGTGATCACCCCGCCTGACACACTGCAACACGTCATCAATTCAACACCATGCTGGCCGACACGCTCGAGGGAATGCTCTGAAAATCTATGTACGCGTTGCGCAATACCCAAAGACAAGGAGGATGTCTTTGCTTTGCCAATTTGTACGCGTGGAGGCGGGTCGTGTTCGAGGTGTCGGCGCGCAGAGCGAAACACCATGGAAGGTAGATGACGCGACGCATGTATCGCCAAAACCACAACCATCAAGACTAGACTCGAGTCCCGAGAGCCTATCAAGCCAACATAAATCATGGAGTATTCCATCGAGTACAAGACTGGCATAGAGAAAAAGCAAACAGTAAGCATGTAGCAACGCGTCTCGTCAATAGGCTTCGAGGATTCGAGCGGAAGCTTGCGCAAAATCGATTCCTTCAAGACGCAAGCTGCAGCTATCGTGGATTGACAGAGATGACTCAGACGAAACAACAAGCAGGGACTATTGGCACGACTGAAGCTCGAGGCCAAAGGTGCCTGCGGTAAGGCTCCTGGCATGCGTTGGCCATGGTCAAGCGTCACCAAGTTGAAAAGAGCGACTCGAAGGAGAGGAGATGGGGTGAAGGGCTGCGCTTCCAGCAGGGAGACAGGAAAGACCCCCAACAAATCGAACGGACAGCAGCCGCACGGCGCCCAGTCAGCGTAGGCGGCAGTATTGCAACATGAGATCAAACTGAAGCGCATCTTGATCAGGCCTGGAAGATTAGCGCCTTCGAGTTGGTGATCTGGGGGCGCCGATTCTGATCCCTGAAAAGTATAAGAACGGCGCATACCCCACCCGCCGCGTGCTTGCCCCAACTCAGCGACTTCCAGACTTCCCACCACCACCATTCTTCCATCGATTTTCACGTTCGCCCTCTCGTTCGAAGCATCAGTAACGCGTCTATCTTCCCATCCAGACCACTAGCAACAATGCCTCCCAAGAAGAACACCACCCCTTCCAAGGCCAAGGCCGCCGCTGCCGCACCTGCCCATGGCTCCTACATCGGTATGTACTATAATATCTCAGCCCAACGCGGTCGCGTCGGTTGCCCGATAGTCGCGTCTTTGTCGCCGGTCAATGCTGACTCTTTTAGACATGGTCAAGGATGCTATCATCAACGTGAGTCTATCCCAGGCGTGTTGCCCTGCACATGAGTTTGCGACAGCTTGCGACAGCTCGCAACGCCAACTTCAGCGCGAATCACAATAACGCTCCATGACATTACTCCCCCAAGTGAACATGATTACTGACGAGCTCTATGCATGCTACAGCTCAAGGAACGAAATGGATCAAGGTTAGTAAAATTAATCCCCACATGTCGTCGCTCATATGTTGCGGCATGCTTTCGTCTGAAAGCGCGCGTACCTCAGAACTCACGCTGACTCTGCGCCAACAGCCGTCAAGCTATCCAGAAGTACATCCAAGCCAACAACAAGGTCGGCAACCTTAGCGATGCTGCCTTCAGGAGTCACGTCAACCGTGCTATTACTTCCGGCGAGGAGAAGGGTGACTTTGCGCGTCCAAAGGGTAAGTGCCTCTCCACCAAGTCTGCGCGACGACACATCTTCAACACGTCGCTACTGTGTATCCTACACGCACGTATCATGAGTCATCTGAACCTTACTGACGCGTCATGTAGGCACGTCTGGACCAGTAAAGCTTGCGAAGAAGGAGGCCAAGCCTGCCGCTGCCACCGCTACCAAGAAGTCTGAGCCCAAGGCCGAGAAGAAGGTCACTGAGAAGAAGACCGTCGAGAAGAAGACTACTGAGAAGAAGGCCCCCGCCACCAAGAAGGCCACGACCACTGTAAGTATCTGCCTGCTGTCATGAGCCTACGTGTCTGACTTCCTCTACAGAAGGCCAAGGCCACCACCACCAAGGCTGCTGCTCCCAAGAAGGCTGTCGGCCGCCCGAAGAAGGCCACTGCCACAGCTGCTGCTACCAAGGCTGCCCCTGCCGCTAAGCCCAAGGCCAACGCCAGCAAACCCCGCAAGACTGCCCCCACTGCAGCCCCCGCTGTCGAGGAGGAGGTATCGCGCGTGCTCGGAAAGACCAAGTCTGGTCGCGTCACCAAGACCAAGGCTCCCGCCGCCGCAACCAAGGCAACAAAGAAGGCACCAGCAGCAAAGAAGACCGCCGCAGCGAAGAAGGCCACCACACCCAAGAAGAAGGCGACGCCCAAGAAGGCAACACCAAAGGCCAAGGCATGAGCTGTTCCAGTTTAAGCTTGTTTGTTCTTGTTGACCTTTTTTATTTTACCATGCTACCGTCCGTTAGCTTCGGAGCGTACGCTAGACGACATCTTCTTCACGTATTCCCTTTGTCACACTACTAGTCTATGGGTTTTACAGGTGGGCGTGGTTCGGCCACCGGCGGATATGGCAAGGCAGGCCTACGGTGTTCGTCCCTGATTTTCTTACCTGGGATATATCATGTTGGCCGGGCGTTCTGGCGCGTGTCTGTCACTGCGGATGGATGTCTACTCTATTGTCATTGTTCTCTTCAGCGTCGCAATCTGGCGTTATGGGAGGCTAGCTACGACGTGATGCTATCGTCTCAAGCAATTCAAATCAACACATACTTCAAACGTTACGCGTCTCTGAACTCGGTGAATGTGACGCGTTGTTTTGATCTGACGCGTGAATGTGGCGAGTCATGTGAGGGGCATGTGGGTCTTTGATAAGATAACCGGCTCTGCCCGATGTTCTCTTCTCTCCCGGGTGCCGGCTAACGGGCAGAATCTACAGGAACGCCGACTCGTAATTTCCTGCGCCGCTCCAAAAGAGCTCCGGTCGTGTCTCATATGTCTTCCGAAGGTACCGGTGATATTACCATGAGCATCTTAAGAAAAAAGACGACCTACTTCGCACGCCTTCGCGACGTTCGCTCGGTCAGCTCTTCAAGGTTGAGCTCTCGAAAGAAGTGAACACGCATATCATCCCAGTCATCACTTCCATCAGGATTTATCAAGGGAGCGCATCTCTGTACCTCTTATCTGCCATTACATCGGTTTACAAATGTCGACGCATGCTTTCTCACAACTAGACGAACGCGGTTTGTCCCCTACACGCGCGTTGAGCAATCGAGAAGGAGCCTATCACACCTGCCATTGCGAGAAGATTCCAAGGTTGGCTTTGGATTCGGCTTAGACGAAGACACTGCCGCATGGCCGCTTGTCGGAGGCATCAAATGATTGTGAGGACATATTCTCTGCGAAAAAGGAACACATGATGTGTCTGGATGTAGACTTGTTGTCTTGTACATGCAAATTGCACATTGTGAAGTTCTACCGAGACCTGATGGGAGCTGGCGAAATTAGTCTCCGATATGCGTGCATTATGATATGGTATGTACATCTCGAAGCGGGTACCATACCACTCAACCCATAACCTGTCATAGTCGCGTAGGCACGCAGTCAATGCTGGGTCCGTGGAAAATGGTTGCTCGTTGACGCCTGCCGCCCTTTCCTACCTAGGTACTCACTTTCACTATCACTTTGGCATCGCGCACAGACTACTTATTTATGGATCTCTCAGTCCAATCTTCGACGTCTTACTTCTAAGCTACACACCACCGCCAACATCAGCTGGAGCGGTCCGCATCGCCATGGCCGACCAGACGACTACTCAAGTCAGCAACCATAGTACCATGAGGTAAGCAGATAACGACAGAGCACTCGGCAAGCAATTACGAAATTAACGTTGTACTCGTAGCTTCAAGTCTACCTCGGCAGTCACCATACGCGTGGGGAAGGCGCCAAACACCGAGGACTTCATCGCGCACGAGACCTTCCTTACTTCCCGTTCAGAGTTCTTCCGCCGCGCCATGAACGGCAACTGGCAGGAGGCAGACACAAGGACTATAAACTTCCCCGACGATGACCCCGGCATTTTCGCCCTCTATCTCAACCACCTCTATACTGGACAGCTGCCTATTACAACCAAAACCAAGGAAGAACTGAAGATGCTCACATCAGCCGACTTCACAATACTTGTTACAGAACAATACCACGTTGTTTTCAGCGTTTTTGTTCTTGGTGAGAAACTTCAAGACCTTTCGATCAAGAATGCCATGATGGAAGCTGCACTAGCCACCACCAGATTGCAAGGACCAGCCGGGAGATGGCAAACGCCGACTGCGCGAACAGCCAACATGGTGTACAATGGCACACCAGCAAGCAGTCTCGCCAGATCTTTTCTCACCGACACATGGACAGCGTTACCCATCGACAATATCCTCGTGAACTTCAACCAGCTCCACACAGATATGAGGAGTGACCTTGGAAAATCACTAAGAGACCGTTACAATATTCTTTTACAAACCATAGGAAACATTGCAGAGAAGAAGGGAATTGCTGCGTACCAGGAGAAGCCGAAGTGAGACTGGACCACCGTATCATTGTCTACAAAGGGCAGAATTCTGAACAGGTAGCTCGAATGTATACGTAAAGAACACGATTATTTGGGACAGTCACTGAGGGGAAAATGTCTGTTAATCCTGAGGATCTGGTAAAGGTCACACTTGGCAGAGTGCAATTTCCAAACACCCTAGCTCCAAATAGTGTGCTGCATTCATGCATAAAACAATGCATACAAACTTTTACAACATAAGCATTTTGATAGAAACTGTTCATTATACCTACTGTTTTTTCTAATGCAATTGTGGTTTCACTCGAGCGTACGAAATCACAATAGTGGTGCTATGCACATGAAAACGATGGGAGGAGCAAACTACTAGATCGTGGTGAAAATTCTGAAGCTTCACACAAAAGAGTTCGTCGAACACAGCGCTTAGCACATATACCGAACCAGGATGGCTCTTGTTCTGTGATGTCTCTCGAAGTGGAGCATACAGCACCTACAGCGCGGTTTACTCAACACTTTTCTGGGCGCATAAGGCCTCGCTAAGTGAACTGCCTTCGAAGTTCATCACCAAGCTTTCCATAACTATCAATGAATTGCTGCCGTTACGATTTCCAAAAGAAAAAGTTACCGCGTACAGTAAGTCTTTTAAGGCCTGTTGGCTTTGTACATAAGCAGTAGAGTGGGATCGAAGTACGCCCGGCTGAATCAACTGGGCAGGCACACCACGCTAGTCGCCGCTAGGAATAGTTGCGCGCGGGAGCTGCTCGGCCTTTGACTGAAGTGCTCGCGGACGCAGAAAAGCGGTTCAAGGATACCTGCTTCCGGCTACATTTCTATGAGAAGCACATCCACGTGCACAGCCCGCATGCACGTCGTCCTTCGCAACTCGACCTGCACATAGTCCATGCACACCACCTGTCCGGCACAGCGCGCCGTTGTCGAGAAGCTCTTCCGCCGTTGCTTCTTGTTGGACCATTGCCTATCAGTCTCCACTCCGATGCGCCCAACTTTCAGGTCGTCTCTGGTCATGGAATAGACGTAAAGCGTTTGATGATGCTAGTGGCTCGCGGGACGATTGGTGACTTCCGTTGTTGGGTGATACCAGGAGGCGTCGCAAAGTAGCATCGCTTCACGGGATCCGTGAACGCCTTCGAGAGCGGGGCGCCACTGCGATGTTATTTAGGAAGGTATCCGACAGCACGCCTGAGGGATACCGGCCGTTCTTTGCTTATTCGCTCATTTCCTCTCCGATCTCTACAGTATGTGGCTGCTTACCTGCGACAGGGTTCTCCAGATCCGCCGCACGGGTGTGGCTAGCAAAACGGTAAGGTGACAACAAAGCGAGACGCGCCACCAGTATCTCTGATTATCCCAATTTCCTGGATAAACACACTTGGGGAGTGAGCGTGATCCTTCAGTTGCCTTTGATGTTCCGAAAGCTGACCTATGGGCGGCAAGACAGGCATGCGATATGTACGAGGCACACCAACTTTCGGGCACGTCCTGTTCATTGGTGACCTTTGAATCGTTACCATTCCTTCGTCTACGCGAACGAATCAACATGCTCACGCATATGCTCGAGGATGTTCTGGACCCATCACAAGGGGTGACCGTTGAAACGGGACACGTCTGCTACGCCCGGATACTTACCAAAACGTCTGTGATGGACATTAACATGCCCGGAGTCGCGTAAGCGATATACTATAGATCGCCGCCTGTTGGACAAAGAATAAAGAGACGATCAGGTGTCGACGCGCAATGGCTTCGCCGACAAACCACAGCCATCACAAGGACAAGTTGATTCGATGTACACAACCGTTAACTGCTCGTACTGTTTGTGGAGACCAACGGGGTGTATCGGGCACCAGATATTACCCCAGATCGATGGAACGATGAGAATTCTTGGCCGAAGAGGCGTCCACTAGTGCCCATTCACATGCATTTCGCACTCTGTTCCTTCCCCATGTAAGTGATAGCCAACGTCTACTGGGATGAATATGCAGGGCTTGACCGCCAAGACGGGCTTCACAGCGAGCTTGAGTGAGCTTGGTCCCCAGGTTTTGGCGCCTCTACCAGGCGATCTATATCCGGGGTCAACTGCTTTACTGCCTGAACTAGCGACATATCCGGTCGTTTACATCGGATCGATAGTTGTCTAGAGCTTAAGCGCAGCTGTCTTTACGGACATTCTGCAATAGCGTGGGCTGATCGATGACAGGTCACACGGTCGCATGCCAACAGTACATGCGGACATACACATTCTCGCTAGCCGTTGGCAGACACAAACGGCCCATGAAGAATGGGACCAATCCTTCCAGAAGTGTCAAGTGCGGAGTAGCCACCTGGTCAGGCCTAGTGTAAGAAATTGCAATGCTACCACAGAAAGCCACACACGCACCACACTGCAGCATCACCGCTGTTCAGGATGCGATATTAAAAGCTGGGGTATCCCACTGTCGATTGCGCCCGCAGCCTTCTCCAACTTCTGCTTCCTCAACGTTGCGCAAAGCGCCTTTCATCATAACTACCTCTTATTCCAGCAATTTTGGAATAAACAGCGACAATGCCAGGAGGTGGTGTTACCCTCACTGGGACGCATGACCTCAACCGGGTCGAGGCTCCTGTCACCGTCCGAGCCTATCTGATCGTCGCATTCGCTGCGTTTGGAGGTATATTCTTTGGATATGACACTGGCTGGATGGGTGGTGTCCTCAATATGGACTACTTCATAAAGCAATACACTGGAGCTGAATACCCCGACGTCGTATATCCGGGCCTTGACTCCACCAGCCAGACCATCAAAGACTATCGCAACTCTACATTCGTGGTCGTACCATGGCAGCAATCACTCGTCACATCCATTCTCTCTGCCGGGTATGTGAGAAAAGACCAATAGTGTTATCAGTGAATGCTAATAGAACACAGTACCTTCTTCGGCGCCATCATGGCCGGTGATATTGCTGACTTTATCGGACGTCGTTTCACAATCATCATGGGATGTGGCATCTTCATTGTCGGAGGCATCCTTGAGACAGCCTCTACTGGACTTGGTGTTATGGTTGCTGGTCGACTTATCGCCGGTTTCGGTGTGGGTTTCATCTCGTCCATTGTCATTCTCTATATGTCTGAGATCGCACCCAAGAAGGTACGCGGTGCTGTAGTCGCTGGTAAGTACTATCCACATGGCCTGAATGTATACATTCTGACTTTGATAGGTTATCAATTCTGCATTACCATTGGTATCTTACTCGCCAACTGCGTTGTATATGCCACTCAGAACAGACGCGATACTGGCTCCTATCGAATTCCGATTGCTGTCCAGTTCCTGTGGGCTATCATTCTCGCCATCGGTCTCGCTCTCCTCCCTGAGTCCCCTCGTTACTGGGTCAAGAAGGGCAAGCTTGATAAGGCTGCTGCCGCCCTCGGCCGTGTTCGTGGTCAACCTCTTGACTCCGAATATATCCAGGATGAACTCGCTGAGATTCTTGTGAACCACGAATATGAGATATCTGTTGTTCCCCAGGGTAGCTATCTCGGCTCATGGATGGCTTGTTTCAAGGGAAAGCTCTCTCAGCCCTCATCCAACGCCCGTCGCACTACGATTGGCATCTTCATGCAGGCTATGCAGCAGCTGACTGGTATCAACTTCATCTTTTACTTCGGCCCGGTCTTCTTCCAGCAGCTCGGCTCCATCAGCAACCCTTTCCTCATCTCTCTCGTCACAACTCTTGTCAACGTGCTGTCCACTCCGGCCTCGTTCGTCATGGTCGAGAAGATTGGCAGACGCCCTCTTCTTGTTTTTGGAGCTGCTGGCATGGTTATCATGCAGTTCATCGTCGGAGCTATCGGAGCCACCGCTGGCAGAAACACTGCCGACCATCCTGCCAACCCAAATGCTACCAGAGCCATGATCGCATTCATCTGCTTGAACATCTCCGTCTTCGCTACCACCTGGGGACCGTGCGCCTGGATTGTGATCGGCGAGATCTTTCCTTTGACTATTCGATCTCGTGGCGTCGGTCTATCCACGGCTAGCAACTGGTTCTGGAACTGCATCATCGGTATCATCACGCCTTATCTTGTTGCTGATCGCGATGACTCCGCTCGTATGGGATCAAATGTCTTCTTCCTATGGGGCTCGCTCTGCTGCGTTTCATGTAGGTTTTCCATCTTCCTTGTAGCCACATGGAGCCTTTTGCTAATTTTTAAACAGTCCTTTTCGCCTACTTCTTTGTTCCCGAAACCAAGGGTCTTACGCTTGAGCAAGTCGACAAGATGTTGGAGGAGAGCACTCCTCGCACCTCCCGCAATTGGAAGCCTCACAGCACCTTCGCCGGCGACATGAACCTCGCTGACAAGCATATCGAGATTCCTCTCGAGAACCTCACTACTAAGCACGAGACCTCTACAGTCTAGTCATCTGGTTAGAACGATGTGTAAGAAGGGAATGTTCAATGTATGGAACTGCCGATGTCACTGGATGTTACTGCAATGCATAAACCTGCTAGCTCGCACCCGATGCTGTGGAGTTATATATTTAGTGGAATAGCATACCTGAACCTCTGTTACTGGGTTTCAATCCGCGTTCCACATTGTGATCGCTGGAAAGCGTACGCGAGACTCAATCCAGAGTGCACGTTATGGCAGCTGCTTCACCACCTGAGATTTCCAGCTATAAGCGTGCTTCCAGCAGTCTGGTAATTTGACTCGAACCACGAGCTGTGACTATGATGTGACGTGTCAAGCGTCCGCTTGCGCAATGTCCATGAACCCATTGTCGCGTTCTGTTCTCCTCGGCTCTAGATAGGGACCCCAGTGTTCGCTATGTAGCACAAGGCTGACGGGCTGACAGCGGAGGCGCGTGTTCTTGCGTTCGATTAACCGGCGCGGTGTTTGTGGCATCGTTTGAGTAGGTGGTACGAGGCTGATGGGTCGCATGCTGCATTGGGGAAATGGCTCGCATGAGAAGTTGGAGCACTGTCAGTGTGACGAGAACTTACGTCGATGATCTGTGTC